AATAGGAAAAACTGTATAGCTACATTCCGTCTCATTCTCTCGCAGGCTAAATCCTATATGTTTGTCTCTTTTTCTCTCATTATTTAGTATAGCAGCCGTTTCATAGCTTCGTTACATAGCTCCGTTTCCTACCGACCGCGTTTATTTACTTTTCAGTTTACTCCCATTATAAAGAAGTTTTCACTTAAAAAAGTAAGTTCCTATTTTACTTACTAGTCGATTGGGGTAGTAATTGGTATTTAACTTATCGATAATCGATTATCGAAATCTATAGATAATTACCGACAGGTAAATGAAATTATTTACGTCGTTTTCTCGATATTAGTTCAACTAAATTTCTGTTTTATTTCATAATCTTTTAAATACACGTCACGCAAATGAACGTTACATGTAAAAGTTTCGGGTAACATTATTTTTGTCTTAACATGCTAACCACCATATTTTTCGGTACAAATATGATATACAGATAACCCTTCTATAACACGGTAGATATACCGTGTTATGTGAAACCGTGTTGTATGAGGCCCAGAAACATTACAGAAAAGAAGATTACAAAAAGAGGTTAGAAATACTTTCCGCAACACTGTATGTTTAAAACTGCAAGCCTCGCCGCAGCTGTAGAAGTACAGTGTTGTACAAAGATTTTGTGAAAGAAAATCGTGTTATAGAATGCCGTGCTATAGAAGGTCAACCTGTACAAGGTACTTATACCAATTTAATAATTAATATTTTTATATAATATATATATATATATATAAATAATATAATAATAGGTATATATATATATGTATATACATACTTAACATTGCTTCAATTATTCTTCGATTATTCTCATAGAATTTTCATTGTCTTGTTTAATCCTCACTGTACAAATATTTCTCGAATTGATGCATTTCTTCTATTGGATCCACTTGGATTGTATCATTCTAAATAATATTAAACATAATCATAAATAAGATAATAAGACTTATACAGGTTTTGATTCACTTCAAATTCGCCATTTTGCAAATCAAGTTTTTTTCCCTATAGAAATATTTTATTAAAGAAAATAAAAAAGAAATGAAATAAATAAATCGTAAGCATCATTTTTGATTACAATGAATTAGTCTTATTTGCAAAACAGATGAATTTCAAATGCATAACCTAAAAATAATAATAACATAAATAAAAAAATGAATAACCTCCTCGATAGTTTCCAGATCGATGATATTGTCACAATTATCTTTTATTTGATGGTAGAAAGCTATTACTGTTGCATCTGTGCTAAGTAAAACACTTAGTCGTTGTAAAAGTGATGACATTTTGATATAATATGTATTCCTCGATTGAGCGTCCGTAGGTGTATTTAGAATCAAATTAGGTAGTAAAATAAATAATCCATGAAGCCCAGATTCTTTTCTTTGATAGCATAATTTTTCTACAATGGGATCTCTTAAATCATCTTGCTGAAAATCAAATGAGGAGAAAAGGAAGAATTTGACATTCGTCGAACAAAGGTTTCTACTTTCTTTATCGAGAACTTTGGTGATTTTGTAATACTCCAATGAATTAATAGAGGAATCCATCGTCGTTCTCTGCAAATCGAAAATAGCTTCGATTTCAGAAAGAGAAGCAGCTTCTTTAAGCAAATTGTTGAAACTCGTTGTATCAACTTCGTCGCGAATAACAACTGTTGCTCCACTATCGCGCCATTTAAGGACCCAATTTTCATGATCTTGAATTGTCTTATTAGAAACTAAGAATAATTGTTTAACTCCTTGTTCGATCATCCAGTCGATCAGTATTTTACCAAAAGTATTGAAACCCTCAACGACAAAATAACATTTGTCATTACGGAAATAATATTGAGGGATCAAATTGGAGACATTTTTTTCTTCTTCTAAATTTACCAGGACCTGCAGAAAAATACATTATTCATAAGATTATACATTTATCAAACTCACTTAATAAATAATCAATTACTTTTCCATAACGTTGACAAGCATTTATGTTTGTTTCTTCCGTTGTTCCATGAAGATTAATTCTTCGTGATACAATTGGTTTTATTGTACCCGCTTGCAGAGCTTTTCTCATTAATTCCGCTATTTTTSTTATCCTTTTTTGYGRCAACTTAAAAAGRTTTTGTAARYAGTAGCTGTGCATACTTATGAATCGCAAAAAATTATTTAGTGGTATCGGTTTGTAATAAATCTCTTTAGAATCGTAAATCAYTACCGAATATTTTCTATYTTTAACAATTTCCAAACAAGATTCCATATCGTTYAAGGTRGAATAGTTAGCAATTACTAAATCTAACCCTTYGTTGTTCGTAATKTTCTTAATATAAATKCTATATTCKTTAACATTAATAATATGAGATTGTGGTAAACGTGATTGCATCGATTCAATGATTCGTTTTTCTTCTTCCGTTTCGTAAGTAGTATAAACATCCAARTYATACGATAAAGATAAATTGATGAGAGCTTGTCCTACKTCGCTAGCACCGTAATGTATTAATACAGTTTTTATTTGATCAGATCYATRCCTATCCAAATGCAAAATACAGAATGCTGCAAAATAAGCTTGGGGAATTGTTGCAGCTTCTTCGAAGCTCAAAGTGTCTGGAATAATCCAAGTTAAATCTGGATGAGATAAAATTTCATTACTTATGGTGAAACNTATATATATATATATATATATATATATATATATTTAATTAAAAAGTAAAAACTCTGAAACAATTATTTCAATTCTTTTATATATAAAATTTACGAAAAAGAAAAAAACAATGAATATTAGTCGAAATTTGGTTTGAACGAATTGTATTTGAAAATGAGGCCACACTGTATATACATGTACAATACTTACATACCTATTGTACAAGATCCGTAAACTGAAGGTGATTATTGAGCTAGAAGATACCGGCTTTGCGCCAAACTATGCTATGCGCTTCCTTGAAATTAATTCGCAACGGCATGCTAAGAACAGAGTTAAAAAGACGATTCGAGTTAATTTATCTTTTAAAAGGATATTTTCCTCGAGATACTCGTAAAATGTATACCGTAGTGAAACTGCAATCATCCTTTAATAACAAAACATAATAAAGTTAAAAGTGATAACGAGCAAGATGAAAATGCAATAATAAATAGGAAGAGTGAAAAAAAAGTAAAAAAAAAAAAAAAGAAAAAAAACAAGTTTTAAATATTCTAGTTAGATCTGTATAATTGTAAAATTGATACGAACGAGTTCTACCTTATCGACCGTGAAGCAAACATTTGCGAATTTTTTTGTTCTCATGGGGAAAATCCTATCGAATTTATTGATATTTATCTATAAAAGGGTATCTTTATAGATAAATATCTGATATAATAAATCAATAAACGTATATACGAGTGTATCTAATTATCTTAAATTGCATAAAGGTAAACGATGCAATGTTATGTTCCAGTAATGTACCTGTTGTAATGAAATTACAATCAATTTATAATGTTCACCATTTCTCGCAAAAGTATCTTTTACTTTTTATCTCCAGAAGAAATAATAAATAAAAGAAGAAAAAAAAGAAACAAGTTTAAATATTTCATGTAAATTCATAATTGTAAAACAATTGATACGAACGAGTTCTACCTTACCGACTGCTAAGCAAACATTTGAGTTTTTTCGCGGGAAAATCAATCAAAACTATCGACATCTATCCGTAAACAGTATTATCATTAAATATTTGATATAATAAGCTGATAGTTTTACAATTGACCTAATAATACATCTTAAAATTGCAATAAAGTAAAGGATGCAATATTAAATCCTGATAATTTATACCTGTTGCAATAAAATTGCAAACACAATTTATAGAATATACCATTTTTCGCAAAAGAGAACCCTTCACTTTTAAACGAGATAATAATTGATTATTCGATCTTGTTCGAATAAACTTTCCTTTCATTATTGCATAAGTTTATCCATCCTATCGCAAACGTCCGTCTATTTAACTACAAAATAGCAAAAAAATAATTCTACAACAAAATATATATATATCTAATAAAAAGTTTATCCGTGTTTACGTATAATCGATGTAATTAATTTTACGTCATAATACGTAACATCTTCCATAATTATCTGGTCCGGTCGAGAATACATTAATATACGGGAACGTATAATCCCGAAATGAAATCGAAACTAAAGAATAAAAGTAAATTAATGACAGGAAGATTAAAATCCTTTGCAATCGAACCTTATGAATATATAAACGGGATATTACCCAACGCATACGTAATATGATATAATCATTTAAAACAAGAATGTGACCTATATGATATAACTAAAGATATTACATACAAAAATTATCAAAAATACAAAAATATGATAATAATAAAAAAAATATATATTTTATTTCTCCTAATCTTTGTTATTTCAGAAATAATGAACCGACTTAGAGAGCAAATGGCCAGTATTGCATCCCGTTTCTCATTAAATCCTGGATTTTCAACACCTTGGAGTAAAATTCCTTTGGGAGGAAACACCACTTCTACTACCAAGGTAAAACAATTTTTTTTCCCATCTTAAAATTAGATTCTATTTCAGGGGTACTCAACCTATTTCCTTTTACGAATCGCATACGTTTATTTTCTATATTCAAACAGCAGGCCATTCTTATTGGCGCTGATTGAAAATCGATAAATAAATAAAAAATAACTGAAAGGTCCTAAGCTTCCATAGGGAAAACGTGGGTCTTATAAGGAGATCACGTGTTATATATAAACCTATTTATTTTGCATTTGAAATTATAATTAAGAAAATAAATTTTATTAAACAATATTCTAGTATTAAATAACAATTAATATTGAAAATACTTAAGGTTGGCACGCTGACGTTAGGTTTAGGAATCTACCTTACCGACGGAGGCTTATTTAACGGTGAAAAACAATAAATGTATTTAAAACTTGGGCTCCAAAAATGAAGGGGTTGTTGGGTCAGGGGTGGGGTAGGAAATATTGGTAACAAGTCAATTTCACTTACTAAAAAAACGAAAAAGTAAATTCATGATTGAACGTGCCGGGGGATCCCCTCAATTAAGTATAGCTGCTCTGTTTTTTTATTAATAAAATAACGAAAATTTGTTAATTTTTATAGATTATCAATGGACACGTATTGACGATCAACGAAACGGTTTACAAGGACAACAGCGATACGGATGCAATTGTTTTCCGCGTACGTGTCATTGACGTTAAACCTCAAAATGATACGACAATTATAACCGAAAACGAAGATGGCGCGGTAATTCCAACGGTAACGAGTACTCCAACAGAAAATGATGGCAGCCAAGAGGTTACAACGCCACAACGAAGCGTTGAAACCGTAGAAGAATTCGATAATGAGATACCCAATCGAGGAGACGTCTTAAAAGCTTAACAAACTAAAATATCAAGAAGCAAAAAATAAGCATTTTTAATTAAATCAAAAAATAAAATAATAATAATAATAATAATAAAAAATAAAGAGTGGTCTTGAATTTTCATAGAAAATAAAATAATAATAAAAAAAAAGAGTAAAAATTAAAAAATAAAAATAAACTATCGGTAATAACATATAAAATTGTTTATTCCAACTAAAATATATTTGTTCCATATGTTCAAACAAAAGTCATTAATTAACATTTATATTAATCTGAATTTTTTACAAGAAATTTTCAATGGGAAAAATCGAGTTTTGAAAAAGTATGCTTTTTTTGTGGTAATGCGTTAAAACGCAATTATTATTGATGCTTTTTATAAAGTATAATGGTTAATAAATTGAAAAAAAAAGTTATTTTCTCATCGATAAAGATGAAAATGTCGTTAGTGACTTTTGAATGAACATAGACAATATAATTATTATGATAGTATAGCGAAAACGTTGTATCCACCAAGTCTATAATATACGTCAAATATACATACACATATATATGTATGTGTATGTATATATAAAGAGGAAGAAGAACAAATAATCTAATTAGTATAACGTATATTGTGTGTAGATGGTGGTGTACGTTTAGCAAACATATGCATGTGAAATGTAAATGTATATTTTAAATATGTGAATGCTATTTTACGAATATGACATTCTTGTAATTTATACACACACATATATTATATATAAATATATTAATTATAAATCGAGTTAAAAATTAGTCAAGTTAATGAAATAAATAAATGAAAAAAAAAATCAAAAAGAAATGTTTTAGTTCATCCTGAATTATTGTATGGTATATACCATTATAAAATCAGGGCTGGTGAAAAGCTTTTAAGTTCAATTAACTCTAATTGCTAGACAATAAAAAATGTTAAATTAAAAAACGTCTACGACGTAAATACGTTACTCCAGGGATAAGTTTGAATTTTTAACTGGTGATGCGCGTCGCGGTCACTTTGGTACCTTGGTATCAAAATTACGTCTCATTAATTTTGTTATTTATATATATATATATATATATATAAACCACATATAGTTTGGAAAATTAAGGAATATTATTTAAACATTTTGTTAAAAAAAAGAAATTTTTAGTTTGAAAAATTATTAGTAAATACATTTTCAAGTTAAATTCGAATCTCTGTAGCCTAAAACTTTAGGTTAGTAACTTCAGATTGGTGACTACCAATCAAAAGCATTCGATGAAACTTCAAGCACGACCCAAAACGACCAATCATGAATTTATTACTTTTTTTTTTTAGCGAAATTGATAGACGGCTCACAATTGGCTCACCCATCTCACAATTCCCCCACCTTAGAACCGATCGCTCTCGTATAAAATATTTAAAATCACGTTAATGTTTCAATACTAAATACATCCTATATTGCTTTTAACCCCTCTAATAAACTTTCTTTTTAGTCATCGATTTTTCAAATATCTTTTTTCAACCGACGCCAATGTGAGGTCCGTGAACGAAAAAATTGAACCCTTATCGGTCGTAAAGCACATGGGAAGTGATTTACAAATAATAAAAATATGTTATTAATAATTAAATAATTATTAATTCCATATATTTATAGTACTCTTTCAAAAATAAATAAATAAATAATAAGTTATTCTTATAATACTGAACAATTTTGTTGAATATTTACCGAAACCACTTATACTTACAAGGAGAGTGCAAGGTCTTGGCCTCACGGATTTTGTTCAAATTTTGTAAGATGATAGATTTTGCTTCCCTGTTCACGAATATATATGGTTATAGGGGGAACTATTCAATAATTTTTTAAATATTTGCAATTAAAGATGCTAAAGGTGCTATTGAGTCTTTAAATTTATTTCTGTAACAAAATATTATGTGTACTGGGCTTGGCATAACGACAACGGTTATGTCGACCGTAACGTAGGCAGCTGTTGTGGTTATGGTTCAAATCAATGCTGGAAAATTTTTTTTATTAATTTTATGTCTATTTTTATATTATTACTATTTTTTATTTTTATTTTATTCTGTATTTATATGAATGATAATGACAAATAAAACTCTTATAAGTTTTTTAGTCATTAAAGACATTTCATTTTCAACTTATTTGAAAATGAAACTAAATTGTTGTTCGCATCTTTCACTAGATCCGTCCTAGCTTGGAATTCCTTTCTGTGTCTATTAATCCCCGCGTATATACCATGGACGTTACTGCTTTGGCAATTTTCATCAATTTCCTGAACATTTTGTTCTAAAAATTGTCGCTTCTTGTTCTTAATTAAATTTTGAGTCGCTTGCCTAATATTGTGAAATTGGTCCCGAGTTAGATCCGTGTTTTGGGTCTGCCACGAAACCTTAAAATATACAAGTTTCGAGAATAATTTATTATATAATATTATTATAATATTATTTGTACTTTTAATTTGTAATTATTAATTTAATTATAAAAATGCGCGCCTGTCTTATCATTTACTTTTTTTGTAATTATTATAAAAATCTGCGCCTGTATGATTGCAACCCACCAGACACACTTTGAAAATGTGTGGTATTACTACTCTTTCGTACCACTAAATAAATAATATACAAGATGATTAACGAATATAAATAACTTTTATTGATAAATCACTATATATATATATTATGCATAATAAGTAATTATGTTCGGTCTTAAACACGAGGTAAGTCAAATGCGTTGTATTAAATTTATCGTGACTGCAGATACGAATCCGCCACAAATGTGTGGTATCACTGCTTACTAATACCACAAGATAAAAGATATACAAAATGGTTAACGTACATAGAAAACTTTATTAATAAAACTGTATCTAATAAGTATAACAAGTAGTTGAATTAAGTTTTTGGAAAACGTGGTGGATACAATGCGTTGTGTGTCGTGTAGCGTGTATAATGCCATTAGATATTGTTCTCATTGTTTTATGTGTTGTTGGTCTGTTTAATCATTTGAGGTATAGTTGTATAAGCGGTCTGCAGAGGCGTGACTGTAGATACGCATCTACTACACATTTGTGACGAACTTATTTATTATTATTTATAATACTCAAATATTATTAATATTTAATATTATTGGGATAATAGTTAATCGTGCATCATTAACGAATATAACTTAATATAAAAAAAAATAAATATAAACATATTTATAACATATAATTGGTTTTATTAACAAATAAAACAAATTTTGTTTAATAAATAAAGCCGTATTAATATCGATCAATTCATCGTTGAATAAATTTGTTTAAATATCAACTCTCTGCTTACGTTTTTGAATATATATTTTAAATTCGTAATATCACGATATGTAAAGCGTATTTCTTGTAATTTTAATAAACGCATGCAGACTTTTATATAATTTATATGAGAACAACAGGATAAATGACGAATAAACTTCGCATTCTTTTATACTATCTATATTCAGACTTATTCCATGCAAATTAATCGCATTTAGCAATAAGTTTTTAACATATTTAACTCCTAATACGCATTTTTTTCGTATCACGCTGTTTATGATGATAATGCAATGGAAATAGGTACTGACACAGTAAACGCTGCTTTGAACTATTATTATACTATTTATCATACGAAAAAGGAATATTCATTAATTTGTCATTCCACTTACGAAATAATTGGAAGGTGACGTCAGAATAAATTCTTCAAAAAATTCTTGATTAACAATATGTTAATTAACAATATGTTAATAACACCTACTATCATAAATATTTTATAAAACAATCTATGAAATAAAATATTTAATATGTAAAAGAAGAGAAATTTTCCTTCGTGTAGTAAGGCTAAACAAAATTGAATCTAGCATGTGGGGAGGGTGTGCTATAATGTATTGTATGTAAAGCCTGTCATGCAAAGAAATACAATATTTATATACAAATTTCTACATAAATCATAACAAATTTTATTATATAATATAACTGTATTATATATACTATCAATAAAAAACATGTGTGCATATCACACAAGTTAAAAGTTAAACCTTTAAATAAACAACTTTCAAGGATAATTTATTATATAATATTATTATAATATTATGTGTACTTTTAATTTTTAATTAATTAATTAATTATTAATTTAATTATAAAAACGCGCGCCAGTTCGATAGAAACCCACCAGACACACTTTAAAAATGTTGCTTGTGAGCGCCATCTACTTGGACGGAATTCGTTTGAAGTCAAACCTGTTTATACAGGAATGTACGACGGGTTGTCAATCTTTCGGGCAGAAATAAATTCAGTCCTGAAAGATGGCGCTCGCAAGCAACATTTGTGGTATCACTGCTTACTAATACCACGAGATTAAAGTTATACAAAATGGTTAACGTACATAGAAAACTTTATTAATAAAACTGTATCTAATAAGTATAACAAGTAGTTGAATTAAGTCTTTGGAACACGTGGTGAATACAATGCGTTGTGTGTCGTGTAGCGTGCATAATGCCATTAGATATTGTTCTCATTGTTTTATGTGTTGTTGGTCTGTTTTATCATTTGAGGTATAGTTGTATAAGCGGTCTGCAGAGGCGTGACTGTAGATACGCATCCACTACACATTTGTGACGAACCTACAACACTTAAAGTGACGCTCGCATGGTGGCGCGCCAGTTCCACCGCAAGGTCTGCCAACTTAGGAAAAATACGATTGGAACGAGTGAAAAAATCTACTTCACTTGTCTGCCGGATACCACGTTGTATAAACGCATATTTAGTTCCGTGAAAAGTCACGTTATATATTTCAAATAATAAAATAAATATTTGTTGAGTTTAACTCTTCTATGTTACTTGTAGTTGTTAAATTACCCGACAGCAACACATTCTCAAAGTGTGTCTAAGAGATTGCATTCATACAGGCGCAGATTTTTATAATAATTACAAAGAAAGTAAATGATAAAATAGTTTAAAAAATGTTTGCAAATAAATATTTTTATAAATAATGATGATTTATAAATAATGATATGCTTGTCTATTTTTCTCTTCTTACGCAGTATTAAGGCCGTTTCTTTCCTTCACTACATTGTACG